AACATAATTGCACTTTTTAACATATAATTAACGTGTACGGACCAGAGACCGAATCGGGTCTTAGGTGGATGACCAAAACCTGACTCGACACGAAGGTTTTTCACCCGAACCCGACCCGAAAGACTTTTACCTGAACCCGACCCGAACCGAAGGCTTTTCAACCCTATCCGACCTGACCCGAAATTTCCGAAACTTGATCCGAAATTTTTTCTTAGATGACCTAACAATTTTTACTGGAAGAAGAGCAGCAGCCTGTAGCTTTTGTAATAGCGTAAAACATTTCTCAGATTTTTTCTCCAAGTGATGGTACATTCAGATTGTGAAAACCCGAAACAGGAAATTGTTTTGCTCAATCGTATATTGTCATGAAGTTTAATCATCATAATGCGACGCATATTTAAGTCGTTCGTTTTTCTTCTTTTTTCTTTCTTTGCTTCAACAGTGCGACACTGTACAGTGTACAGTGTACATTACACAGCGTCAAAGCAGGAAGAAAAAAAACACTGTACTTCTTTTTCCGACAAAAAAGTGTCACGGTTCACTCAAAATAAATGAGTGAACCGTAATTGAAGAAAATCCCTTGATTTGTTTTCTGGTGGCAACACCCGAATAAAACCCGAATTTTGTTTCTTGTGACCCGACCCGAATCAATATTTTTTACACTGATCAGAACCCGACCCGACCCGTTTCGGTCTCTGGTAAGGACCATTCTAATGTTTGTCTAATGTTTTCGTAATATATAGTCCAAGATGTTTATGTTCATCGACAAAGGGAAGAGAAAGATTATTGAGGACGATGGAAGGAATGTTAACAACTTTACCAAAGATCATTGCAGCACGTTTTTTAGCATTTAATGGCATTTGCCAAAACTGAGATCAAATATTTATTTTATCAAGATCAGTATTTATGATATTGACTGCAGTTAAAATGTTATCGCCAGAATAATAGAGAGACGTGTCATCCGCGAACAGTCTAAGTTTGGATTTCGTCTGTAATGAGATATCATCAATAAACAAGAGGAATAGCAGGGATCCAATAATGGATCCCTGGGATACTCCTCTGTTTATTGGCAGTAGAATCGAGGTTTGTCCGTTAACAACTGTAACACATCGTCTGTTAGTAAGATAGCTCGAGAATCATTTTAGTAGATTATGTGACACACCCTTCTTCTTCAATTTATAGAGTAAAGCAGTGTGACAGACTTTATCGAACGCTTTTGCATAATCAAGAAAGACAGCAAGAGTGAAATTACCACGGTCTAAATTTTCGCTAATTTCATGTATGAGATCTACTAGCTGGTTCACTGTAGAGTCTGCTTGGATAAGTGTAACAGAAGTGCTGACAGTGAAAATGCATAATTTTCAATTCTAAGAAAATGGCGTTCTGTTGACTCTTACATGTAAAATTTACTTGGAAAAAATCATCACGTCAATACAACAGAGCTGCGACAAATAGCCATTTTTTTTCTTTTCTTTGCTCTTTTCTTTGCTCTTTTCTATTATCTTTTCTTATTCACGTTATATTTAGTGTGTATGAGTAACGTTTATACACACTAAATATAAGTGAATAAGAAAAGAAAAAATAATTGTGTTAGCGTGTTCCTAACGTTCAAGACAGAAAGTTTCGTGAATAGAAAAAATCCCTTTGACTATTTTTCTTCTTTCACCACGCTTGTATGATGTAATTGGAAATAAGTAAAATGTGTGTAAAATTACAGGCAACAGCATATATAATCATTGTTCTTTCAGTCATTTCTAACAATCACATATTTGAAGAATCAGTTAAATTTCATTGGAGAGTGAACGTTCCTTTTTATTACCTGCTCACTTTTCGTAGTTTTGTACACTTGATACTTAGGGGTTTTTATTTTCTCGGTCTTAAGCTTTTGTAAAGTCAATGACAAGTTAAATATGACTTAAGGCCGAAAAATTCGGAACACACCTTATATCATAGCACATGTTGAAAAAATTAGGTTTGTAAACTTAGAAGTATATAGCACTTTTAGGGATAGGACCCGTTACCGCTAAAAGTCGCTGAATCCCTTGCACATTCTGTAATGTTAACGGTGCAAGCTATTATCGCTGTCAAGTAAGGACCATAATACTAGCTTGCGACAGATTCATCGCTAATTTGGATATCATTATCTGCTTTTTTATTATTATAGCACATTTTCCCATCTCAAGCGATGATTGCTTTTTGTTTACTTTTGTTTTAGAGTTATTCCTTTGCATCTCCAAGGCATCCAAAATCTACCGAATTTGTTACTATCAATTCTCAGTATCCATCAGTTACTGTTTAAAGTGTTTCTAAAAAGTGCGAGTGGTTTTTGAAGAGTATGAAAAGGCAAAAACTCCAGATACACAGATCAAAATTTTTCAAAAGTAGAAATTTACAACCGCCAACAAGTATTCGACATACTGATCAATCAACCGAACAAACGCCAATCGACCTAATTAGCGTTAGTGAAGGTGATATTACGACAACTACGGTATATTTGAAATTTCTATCACAAAAGTAATTATTATTTTATCAAAGTGAATCTTCATTTCAGGTCGATGTTATTGTTGTGGGTTCGTCATCGCTATTCCTACAACTAATCGTATTTGAAAAAGGTGGAGAAGTAGTAAAAGCAGCCTATGAAAATGAATGTAAGAAAAATCCAGAACTAATTTGTACACCATCTGGACAATTGCCATGCAAATATATCTATTTTATTCCATGGCTACCAAACGTACACAAAACAATTCTTCGACAATCCCTTGTCAAATTTGTTTCAACTGCTATTCAAAAAGCAATAAATGACAAATGCCAATCAATTGCTTTTCCAGCAATTGGTTGTCATGAATATAAGTGTTCGACTGATTTTGTTGCTGAAACAATGGTACTAGAAGCGCATAATCAGTTATTGATATCAAAAGTTCAAATGCATGTATTGTTCATAATTCAACCTCAACATCATAATGTTTATGATGAATTTTGTGAACAAATAGAGTTATTAAAGGATATTGAACTGACTACTCAAAGTGTACAACCGACTACTGAAAATAATATTGCTATCAATATTGCCAAGGGAATAATTAAAGTTGGCAAAGGGGATCTTACTAAACAGGAAGTAAGCATAAATGTACACAGCATATATCATAAAGCAAGCGTTCACTTGGTAGGAATGGTGCGACAATGTTATTGATGTACCACTCGACAATCTGTTTGAAAGAGTTTACGTAGTCATATCATTCTATATACTTAGGTTGATGTTGTTGTTGGTTGTTCATCGTCCGAAATGTTGCTTCAATACATCATGATAGAAGCTGGTCAGAGCGTGAAAGAGGCCTACTACACTGAAATTAGAAATTATCCCAATGCTGTTGTTATTTCCACAGCACCAGGAAATTTACCGTGTAAAAAAATATTTTTTATATCCTGGATGCCAGATAACGATAAAAACACTTTGCGACAATCTGTCATTGATTTGGTATCTAATGCAATACAAAATGCTTTGGCGCATAATTTTACAAGTATAGCATTTCCAGCCATTGGTTGTGGAGAGTATGGATGTTCAGTTGATGTAGTAGTTAAAACATTGGTGAGAGAAGCCAAAAATCAATTAACGATTAGGAATGTACCACTTACCATTTCGTTTATCATACAAGAAGATAAACAAAATATATATGACGAATTCTGTAAACAAGTTGTACAATTACAAGGTATATCGTGCACAAACATCTTCAATCGTCTATTTTCTAGTTTTTTGCTATGCTGTAGCACCATCCGCCTGCATCAGTAATGAATTTCCGGAATCATGGGAACATTCCACTACAAATGATATCCGCATTGAATTAAAGACAAATAATGAAGAATATAAATTTGTTTTTAATAAGTTTAATACTGATATGAAAGGATACTATTCACGTATAATTCGAATCGAACGTATACAAAACGAACGATGGTATATGCAATATATAGCACATCATGCTGATTTCAAAAAACGCTTACATGTAGACACAGAAAAACTTTTATATCACGGTTGTCCAGAATCAGCAGCCAAAGCAATTAGTGAAGATTGTTTCAACAGAAGTTTTGCTGGAGTGAATGGTAAATATAGACTAAGAAAAATTAAGTTTTTAACTTATGCATCGCGTCGACAATATCATATGTTTATTAAAATTGTGCTAACTGTTCGATTTGAACGTGATACTAAGAAGCCATTTATAGAGTATGCTGTATATGTATACCTGCTTGTTCATCTATTGTAGGGACTGCCTATGGTTTCGGAGTTTATTTTGCTGCGAATGCTTCATATAGCCATTCATACACTGTTTCAAATAAAAATGGAGAACGATTTATGTTTTTATCTCGTGTCCTAATTGGAAAATCAACAATTGGAAATAGTTCAATGAAAACACGCTCTCTCGGTTTCGATTCAACAACAGACGGACACAATATTTTTGTTACATATCACGATGCACAAGCCTACGCTGAATACTTGATAACGTATAAATAATTCGAAGGCCTCTGGAGAACCAGAAAGTGATTCCATCTGATTCTACGTTAGAACTAGAAGAAAAATCGACTGCTTTTTGGAATTTTTATCTGAATAAACATAGCCTTGAATTGCTTATTTTCTAGATATGTCTGGAATTGTAGATTGCGTGTCACTCCAATCAAAAATGAATGTTAATAGGTTTCAGCGCGAAAGAAAAAGTATTCGATTCTGAGTGACCAAGGAAAAGTGCAGTAATGACTCTGTACTTTAGAGCAGCATGCACTGTCTTTTGCCAATGTAAGATCACGTGAATCGACCGTCTTTTAGGATAAACTATATGTGCTATTGCGCTCTTTTTAAAACTATAAGTCAGTGGCAATGAGAAGTAATATTAAACAATGAATCACGTGTGAATGCAGCTAAACTACTCATCATTTATAACCTTATTAAGCTTTCGAATAAACTGAAAATACAACAAGTTATGACTTGTTGTATTTTCTGCTGATGAATAAAGTTTATTCGAAAGCCTAATAAGGTAATATGAAATTATAAATGATTAGCTGCATTCACACGAATCCCGGACTCGTGCTTCCCAGACAGTTGCTCCCCGGACACTTGCTCTCCTAGGACAAATGCTCCCCGGACGCATACGCTCCTAGGACAGTTGCACACGACGATAAATATTTTGACATAAATGAAAGAAACAGCTAGATATATGTGCATTTGGAATTTTTTGCTGAATACATTAATAACAGCACGTTCATAATCCATCATTATATTTTGTGGTGAAAAATTTGGGCGCAATTGAACAATTTCATCTATCATTTGTTTATAAAGACGTTGTGTTTTTCCTAAGCAGTCAAAAGGAAATCAGACAAGATAAAAAGTCTGGATAAATTAAAAAGAAATATAGTGCAGAAATAAGAAGCAAGGCTACCTCTGTTTCTGAAGAAACTTTTTGACTTCTCTTCGATGTTAATCCTGCTCTCACCTCTTCGCACCGCTATTGTTGTTGTCTCGGTGGAAATGTTGTATATGAAGAAGGAAAATAAGCAAGAAAAAGTACATATTGGTCTAATATATTAGCTCAATAGCACTAATAACACTCTCTTCTACTATGATGATTTGTAAAGTATTAAAATAGATAAACATCCTACCTGGTAATAAAATATATACAACAGGAACAATATGTTCTAAATATGTCGCATGAATCGTATATAATTGAAAATAAATTTCTGGTACGATGCTAAATGTTCCATCGACATATACTGATTCAGATCTTTCTAAAATTCGTAATTGTTTTTTGGTTGAAAATATAAGTAGACGTTTATCGATTGGACCAGAATCAAATTGAAGGAATGTATGTTAGCGCATTGTTTTTGTATATTCGGGATCGATTATTATTGTATCACGACTTGTTGGAATAGCCAGTGGATTTTGTTCACGTTGGCGAATACGACGAACTGTACGTTTTAAATTACGTAAATCTGGTAGTGAACTAATAGCTTGGGTTGATAACTGAGCCACACCGCTTGCTACGATATCATGTGTTGATTTATCAGTGGTTGAGGCGGCATGTTGCATTGCTGCTGTTGCT